CGCAGGTGCTCAGTCCATGATATTATGTGCAGTCTTGCAAGTGCTCACTGCTGAGGCCATATTTCATTATTTTTTGATCCATGTTACAATGTTTCCTCATGAAAAACATATCTGGAGTTGTGTTTTGTTTCATTCACACATGCTTAACACACAAATCTTGCATAGTTAGGATGACAAACACCCTGTTCCACCTTGTGATATAATACAGGAAGTGCTCCACTGTGTTTTTAAACCCCATTTACCTTCACTAGAATGGTAAACGGTCACATTTTTATATCACTTTTCCACCTTCAAGGCACTCAAAGCGCTTTACATCATGGAGCCACTTACTTATTCACACATATACATACACTGGGGGCAAGGTGGGTTATGCGTCTTTGCCCGTTCAGCTGTGGAAACTGGAATCGCATCATCAACCTGTGGGTCAGTGGTTCAGACTCCAACGCTGGAATTTTCAGTCTGTACTGAACTAAAGCTAAAAGGTGGATGTTAACTTGAAAACTACTAAACAGAGCATTCTGAGATTTGGAGATGCAAACCAACAATAAAGGGTTACACAAAATGTGTGAATGAAACAAAACAAAAATACGTGTATGTTTTTGACAAGGTAGCAACATTATAACATGGATTAACGCTCACAAGAGTCAATTTCGCGCAATACAAGAGCTTCAGCTGTTCAGTACAAGATAATATTGGCACTCATTCAGGTGATCAGTACGTGCTATATGTGCACTGTGGGAGCCTTGCAGAACATAGTGCACAATAGTCTATGATAGTTATAGGCTAACTGCTGGTGTTCAGCAACATTTTACAAGAAAATATACTTTACAGGTGCTCAGTTCATACAGTTATGCGTTGTCCTGCAGGTATTCAGTATGTGGTATTATTGATTATCCTGCTGGTGTGCATTACATTATTTATTCTTTGTTTTTAGTCCTTTATTTAGCCTGGAAGCTCCAATTGAAATACAATACCTCTTCTTACAGGGACCCCTTTCTGTTAACAACATGATTCAAAACAATGGCACTGGTCTAAACAAATTGCACTGTGTGATGGTTAGACTTACCCTTATTATTTGTGCCAGTCTTGCGGGTGCTCAGTGGATGGCATGAGGGGGCTGCCTTGCTGGTCATCAGTGCACAGTATTACAGTCCTGCCTGCAAGTGATCAGGACATAGTAACATGTTACATACATACAGAAGACATCGGACATATGATGCAAGATATACGGCATTATGTGAAGTGAAATAAGTCTAATTAAATATTTTTGTGTTTTATATTCAAATATTGAAAGTAGCCACCTTGTGCTAGTTGACAGCACTGCAAACCCTTCTCTCATTGAGCTTCATGATGAAGTCTGCTGAAATGGGTTTCACTTGTGACTCGTCAGAATAAAGGAATACCACAAGTGCAAACCATGTTTCAAAGCAAAGATGGCTATTTTGAGTTACTTTTTGTTCTATGTGTGTCCATTCATAGTTTTGCTGCCTTCTGTGAGAATCTACAATAAAAATTATCAAGGAAATAAAGAAGAATCATGAAAAAGTGTGTCCAAAATTTTGTGTGGTAGTGTATGCTGTGTGGGCAGAATATGTTAGAATAGTTGGTTTCACTTTTAGTTTTTCTCCCCTCCCTTTCACTCCCTACTTTGCATTGCATCAGGTTTGTCAAGTTTCTGTGTACAGTTTTGTATCATTATTTTGTACATTTATGGAGAATTGTTGTGGCGGAGGATGGGTGGCTTAGGCTTGTGGGTTGAGCATTACACAGAATCTTACTGCTAACTGTAAGGAAAATTGGAAAAGCGTCCAGAAAAGATCAAAATTACTCAAACATTCATGCACATGTACATTTAAAACCTCTTCAGGCATGTTTTTGATGAGTGAACAAGATTATAACATGGTAAAAAGCAGAAAAAAAAACAATTTTGCATAATATCCTCTGTTTAATGGTAATATGACTGCCAGATTTTCAGCTTATGGTATTATGATCTGTCCTGCAGGTGCTGAGTATCTGATGTCAATTTGTATTATCCTGCTTGTTTGACATTACATGATAGGTTTGCTCTGTATTATCCTTGAGATGCTAAGTTTATGGTATTCTAGTTGACCTTGCAAGTGTCCAGCTGCTGGTAACACGGCAGCCCTACAGTGTTCAGTTTAGTGTATTATGTTATGCCCATATTAGTCCATCCTGCAGGTGCTCAGATGAAACAGTCAAGATAAAGGCGTGTAATCCTCTGGACCTGAACAGCTGCATGGTTCTCACTGTCCTGACTTTCTTTGATATAGCAGACCCCTCACCTGTGCCCAGTCGGATCAGTGCATATGTGCAGGGGAGCGCATGATTGGCCGACTCCGGGTCATGTGAGGTGACCCGGGCCGATCGCGTCCTGATTGGTCGATGAGATTCTCTTTGGCCTTGTCTGTTCTGATGCGTCGCCGAGGGAGACGGGTGAATTGGATCGGACAGTTGTAATTGCGGTGTGAAATTGGGTGGTGACGATAATGGACCGCTTGACAAGTTAATTATTGAATGAAAATAAATGAAATAGTGTGTAACGTACATAGATTGTATTGAGCAGGCTTTAAAGGTGCACTATGTAACTTTTTGGTGAAAGGGCCTACACCTACATGTTGCCATCAAGGTGTTAGTGCTTGGCTTTGAATGTTCCGTACTGTGCCATTAAATGTATTACATTTATTTGATTATAGGCTATTTAAAAAGTTCTTTAAAAAGGCACAAAATGTAACTTTTTAGCCAAAAAAAATACTAAAATAAAAGAATGTGTTTTTGTGCTTAAAAAAATAACTAAAAATAACTTGTGTCCTTACTATGAGCATGCTCGCATCTCCAAAGACCTGACTTATTTGGCCTCGATTAGGGCCTCTTGCTGCTGGAGATGTTGTTCTTTTGTCTATTATCTGCAGCATGTCATAAAACATATCTATCTTCATGGAGAATGCCCCAAACAATTTTCCATAAATATACAAAAGCATGATACAAAACAACACACTATAACTTCACAAACCTGATGTGATGTGGACAAATCCAGGTGTGGTGGGAAGCTGGCCTGATGTGATCAAAGTTGGAGGCAATCTTGAAACAAAAATTGTGTTTTACCAGACAAATTTTCTGAAAATAAGATGACATTGGCTGTGCTTTTAAAAGGAACTAATTACAAAATAAACTCTTAACTCACTTAAACAGAAAAAGTAACTTCAATTAAACACAACCATGTGCAAACAACTACAATGAAGTCTTCCAGATGTCTTCTTCTTCTTCTGTGGAGTTTAACAGCAGATTACATCCAAAAAATTGCATTACCGCCATCTGGTGCCACTACCAAAAACTATCTATAGCCTGTAAAAATGAAAGACTTTCTTCCAGATCAGCTGCAATCCCAGTCCAGAACAGTTTTAAAATCAATGAATCCTTGCTGCTGCTGATGAAACAACTGTTATTCCTCCAAAATGAATTCAACAGATAACTTTTATTCCCCATCTGTGGATTAGGACCACCCACCAGGCAAGTCCATTAGTCTGTACAAGTTATACAAGTAGATGTCTAAAATTGGCAGGTATATGTTGACAGATTTACAGGCTTCAGTCCGATCACAAATGTGTTTAACATAAAGCTATAAACAGCTAGACAAGTTAATTCAAATCAAAATATAGAAATCTAGAAAAACACAAATGACTCAGTTCACCCCCACACATGGTTTGGCCCAAAAATGGCCGACAGTAAAAACACTCCTTTTTTGACTAGACACATGTGTTGAATCAGGTAAGTCTGCAATTATGGATGTGTTTAATTGAAATTAATTGACAAATGAAGTATATTTAAATGAACAATGTGTGGGGTAGTCATTTAACAAAACAGAACCTATTTAGTTGACACTTTGCCACAAGGTTGTATTCCTGGAAATGTGCCTCTGTGTTTTTAAAATCCATATCACTTTCAGTAACTACCTTTGGTCATTGTTGTGCACAGATAGGCTTCATTGAGGAGCCTCTCAACTCAAAAGCTATTGTATTTAGCCTAATTTGTAGTGCCTCACCACTCAATAAGACAGTGGATGACATTTTCTCGTGCTACAGTTTCCACAGTATTGAAAAAGTTGCTGAGCAATGCATGAATATAGGATTTTTGTCTATCAGAATGAAATGGAGTCTTATCTAATGTACATTTGTGTGGACAAGGAATGCTGCCTAACCTGTTAAATTTACTACTGATAATTTAAATAGAGTATGATCAAAATTTCACAATTAAACATTGTTCCCTCATCAAAAACATATGAGGTTTTAGCTGTCATCCAAGCAATTCTCCATAAATGTACAAAAAGAAAAATACACTACAGCTTGACAAACCTGATGCGATGTGCAGTACTTTCATTAGCACGATGCATGCCAATTGTGTTGGGTTAGTGCTCTGAAGGGGGGGGTGACTTAGGGCTGAGAGCATTTAACCAAAACTCTACATTATAACAAACAACTTGTCCATCATGTCTAATGTTTTGTAATTAAAAATGCATTATGTAACATTTGGCTGAGGGGTCTGTCACCTGCTTGTTTCCATGGATATGTCATTTCTCTGCCTGGAATGTTCCACAGTGTGACATTAAACACCTCTAATTTGCATTTCTTAAATTACTGCAGCTTTTACAGCTCAGGAATACAGTAATATAAAACAGGCATTCTGACTGTGAGCGGGGTTGTCTCTCCACAGATTTTACCTTAACTTGGTCTGGTTTGGTCTCCATGATGAAAGAAAGGCTTACCATACTGTAAAACATTCCAGACAAAGCAACAGCATAAATCAGCATTACTTTTGTTATTAGTAAGAGCTATGTTTGATTTGAACATGTTTGCCTAATATCAGGACACAGTTAGGTCATGTTTATGGATCCTAGTTCCTTTAATTCATCATGTCCCATAGCTATACTTGTTTATAAATATTAAACATATTTAAAGTACATTGTTTTTTTTATTTGTGTACAGGATTAAAGAATGGGTGGACCAGATGCAGAAGGAGCTCATCTCATTGGCAGACAAGGCCACGGCTGAGAGGAACCTCACTCAGGTATGGACATTCGCCATTCATGTAAATTTACATACCAGCAACTTTTTTAAGAATCTAAAAAACACTCAAAATAAGAAGAGTATTAAAATAGTATAATAGTTTGTTCAAAAGAGTTAGTTTAATTATGTACAGGCTGAAGGAACATTGTAAACCCAGAACTCTGTCCGTAGAAGTGCTTGGTTTGACCTCTGCAGTGTTATTTTACAGAAGGTACAACTATTCTTGTAAATGTCCACTTTTTCCTTGATGGTTCACAGGCAACACAGGAAACTAAACTAACACAAGAACAATGTTAGCAAGTTTGTCTGATCACCACATAATCAGGGAAAAAAATCTCACAGATTCTTAGAGCACACTGTCATCAGCTTGACCAATTTTTATTTTGATTTATATTACCAGCATCAAACTGAAAACTGTGACCACTGTCTCCAATAAAAGATTACAATCAGTATTTGCAATAAAAATGATGTGCTCTTGGGGGCTTTCTGGTGGCCTCAGGGTCCAAAGCAGCTGCTTATTCTGCTTATTATATGCTGGATCGGCTTCTAGATAATATGAGTAATATAGTAAATCACTGTATTCAATTGTATATTGTGAACCAGTGTCAAATAAGTTATTATAAAATCAATCCATGTCTTAGCAATGTAGGGATGTAACAATATCCAAATCTCTCGGTACGGTATATTACAGTATATATATATAAAAAATAAAAAAAACTAAGATTCCAAAGTATTTAGAAGAGTTATTTCTTCATGTAGTCTACACTGAAACAGAGCAAAGGATCATGGTCTATGTAGTTCCCTCTTTGTTTTTAGCCATTGCTTCACAATAACTATTAATTTAAAGGGATAGTTCGGATTTTTTGACATAAATCTGTATGGCATCCCATCATCAGTGTTGTGCATTCACACCGACTTACCCCGAAAGCGTCCGGTGAGCCGAGATACTGGCCCGTTTTGGTGCTGAGGAAAGTAGTTCGGCAAGTTGTGTGGGGACTGCATACTAAAGCGTTTTTCTTCTCAAAGCAATATGTGTTCAAAAGAGTGATACATTTGCATCACAAACCATTGTCGCCAAAAAAGTCAGATCTCATAATCGCTTGGCGCTATTTTCTCTCCGTACGTACCACTGCGCGCGGCGCAGGTGACAGCCGCGCACCGATCCCACTTTCTTCAGTTGTTCGGCAGTGTTTACATGCGCAGACCGCCACGCGAGAGATGTATTGTATTGTGATGGTCCATGATATTATTGTGAGAACTTTGACCAATTGATACTACGGTATATTGGTTCTTGTTACATCCCTATAACAAAGTGGTGTCATTTATTTTCAGTGCAGGAGTATAAATACCATAGTTCTATCAGATGTTCTACTGTGCACATTAAACCGGGAATTGTAGTTGTCACCCTCTCCTGTGTGGTTTGTGCAGATCTTCCTGAGAAACCAGCATCTGTACACGATAGAACAGAATGACGCAGACAAGCTGGTGGACCGAGCAGCAAGAAACATCGAGCAGCTTCTGAGGAACAGGTCAGCCGCTCTGGAGGTAAGCGCACTACTGTTATACTGTTTGTAAGACTCATACTGAACAGGGACTCATATTATGCTATTACAAGGAGGAAAACTGGATTACTGACCCTAGTCTAAAGGGCCTGTATTACGTTATTTTCTGAAACTAGCTTTATTGTGTTTATTTGAGCTAAGAGGAGCAATGCAGTTCATGACCGAAAATGAAATGCTCAACATAAATTTGATATCTAATTATCAAAAAATGTTATTATATGTATGGTAGTAGTTTTTATTGGCAATTATAGCAACATGTTATTGTTAATGCTAAATTACTAGATGCCCCTGAATGCCTCATAGCCCCTCTTTCGCATCTCTTCGGTTCTTTGACCTCTAGACTGTAGGCTTGTCAAAAACACTGAAAATCAGACACTAATCGATACTGAAATTAGTATTGAAAAGTAGATAGTCACTGGAGTGAGATACTAAAAGTCACAGGACATAAATTAACCTTTCCTGAATAACTTTAGAATGATCTTGAGCTGTATCAGAACAAGTATAAGAGCACATGATCTAGTTTACGCCCATGAACCTCTATGAAACCTACCTGGAAGACTAAGGGATTGCACAGATTTAAGGCGATATGGTGGAAAAAAAGAAAGTACTATGATTTAATGTTGAAAATGACATTCTGCTGTCTAAATAAAAAATCGAACATTAACATTTTAGTATTGTGACACTTGTAGACTGGGATAATGTAGCAGAGTGTGGGAAACACTGTGCTACTGATTTAGCTGTTGCCAATAAAGTCGTCTCTGATAGCGGGCAGTAAATTAGCCATAAAATGTTCGTTATAGGCTTATGAATTATTTAAGAGGTCGTTACTTTTTGTCATTAGAGGAATAATAGTCCACACTGCGCTAATTACTATGTTAGCATCAGATGGTTTTCATTGGATAGGTTTTGGCTGGTAACAGTATATATAGTACATACACGTTTCTAGTCAAGGGTTGCTTGTAAGATTGTTGCTTGTATCCATGGAGGTGTTATTACTTTGTCTGAAATGCTCCACAGTAGGGCATTAAACTTATCAATCCGGCATATAGTCAGGTGTTTTTATAACTAAAAATATCTTGAAAAAGTGCATTCTCATTATGAGTGGCATCACTTCTCCACAAATCGGACCTGTAATTTGTCCTGGTGTCATCAAGTGTAAGTCTCCATGGCAATAGATACGTTTATAGGCTCTGTACCTGATTCTTTCTTGAGGTCAAAGTATGTCTGCTGCATGCCGTCTGCATCTAATTATAAAGCATTTTATTATCTAGTATTCAGGAAGTACTCATTAGCATACTAGTTAATTTTAGCGTAACAGCAAAACTCCACTATGGTCTCTGCAAGTGGTGAAAAGTGCTTATAAACTCATCGCAGTAAATAATTGCATGCTCAGAATGCATAAGTTGCGTGAGTGAGGCGTAACTTAGGACTAGAGGTCTGAGCGGGACAGAATTTTCCTGTGCCTGCAAAGAATTATAATTTTCAGTCCCACTCCCGCCCACATTTGTGATATTTTGTCCTGCTCCCGCTCGCAAATCCTGCAGGATGGATGGGGATGTTTGCTTTCTTAAGCTCTATCAAACAAGGAGAAGCAGAAAGGAATGTGCGAGAGATTAAACCACATTCACAAGTTTAGGCTTAAAGTGTTTTAATTAATGTTAAATAAAATATCCAGCACAAATGATGGTAAATGGTCACATTTTTCTATAGCCCTTTTCCACCTTCAAGGCACTCAAAGCGCTTTACAACAAGGAACCACTCACCCATTCACACACACGTGTACGCAGACACTGTGGGTTAAGTGTCTTGCCCAAGGACACAACTACAGCATTCATCTGTGGGAGCTGGAATCACACCAGCCAACCTGTGGGTCAGCGGATCTGACCGCTCAACCAATGATGGTTGGTGTCAAGAGTGGGATTTGAACCGCCAACCTTCAGATCAGTGGACGAATGCTCTACCAACTGAGCTACTGCCGTCCAGTAGTATGAAACTTTTGTATATTTTACTTTACACTCATATTTAGTTTGCGGGACTGCAGTTTATCATCCCACTCGCCCGCTCCCGCATTGTGTAGTCCCACTCCCGCCCACACCCGCAATGAGCTTTCAAAATGTGTCCACACTGTTTTGCATCAGGTCCCCAGGGCTCTACTTTGGACCAGTGCAAAGCGTTTTAAACAAAGTAAAGTCTCTCCCCCTTCAGAGCACTATCTCATTACATGCATCCCATATAGTGACACTACTGCACATCGTGTCAGGTTTGTTAAGATGCTGTGTACAGTTTTGTATCATATTTTTGTATATTTATGGAGAAGTGTCGTGATGACATAGGTAGGTGGGTTGAGCTTTGCACAGAATCTTACAGCTAACCCTAATGAAAGGCAAACAGGGCCCGGGAGAGATCACTAAAATATTGAAACATGCATGGATGACATCTTCTTAAGGCAGGGGTGGGCGATTATTTTTTTCCATGGGGCCACATAAGAAACCGAAAATATTGCTTAACTCAATTCTGCATAATATGAATTGTATTTCTTTATAAAAAAGCAGTAAATAGCATTGTTTTGACAAGCTGGTAAGACTGGTAAGAGTTTATGTTATGACTAAGCAATGAAAAAGTGAGGGTGCCATTTAAAACCCCTCTAAAATAAAAGCAATGCAGCTTTAGTCCACGCATGAGGTAAAATGATCAAATATGTTTATTTTCTAATTCCAAATAAGGTTAAACGGGCGAGTCAACCAAAGGGCATATTTTTGATGAGGGAACGACATTATAACATGGTGAAAAGCTGTAATAACATTGATTTTGTATAATACTCCCTTTTTAAAAAAAATAAGTATGACCTTGTAGACTTCCTAAACTTTTAATAAGTCCACATATATATTCTTTGCAATGATTCATATTACGTTTGTGCCATGTAAAAATCCACTCCACCATCTGTGCAAATCAAATCATATTGGGTTTTCTGGAATACTCTAAACTCCAAGCCCACATAAAATCATAAGAAACACATTTTATAGTAGGGATAATGAATGGCTGTATTAATTTCGATGCTATTCGGGCTGGAAAGTGCCTCCGTCCTCCTCCAGACCAGACATTGTGGTGGGAGGACCCTTCAATATTGCCAGTATGCTCAGACAGCTTAGCATTATAACTGTGTAGGCAGCTTTTGAATCACTTAATTTGGCGTTAAAATCAGCAGTGAGACGATCTTTTAGAATTGTGGAGTGTGGAGAACAAAACTGAATACATTAGCAATATTTTAAGAGTCGAGCGACCTCATTTGACTGCTTTTACGATTATCTGTACTCAGAAAAATGCTAAAAACTAAACTTAAAGATGTATTGTAAAAGCAGGTCTTAGGTTCAAAATGAGACTGCTGTGTGCTGTCTGCATCTAATCGAGCTCAACAGTCTTGCTCACGTTGACTTGACTAATTGTAAATAGCATTGTTCACTTTTCTTTTTTTTTTTTGAACTTTATTGCCAAAAGTACAAAATAACAGGCAATTTACATTAGAACAAACAAAAACAAGTGTCGAGATTTGGCTCATAACTCTAGTCATATGTAGTTAAGTACAGTAGTCAGGCAGGGCATTAAAAAAAAGAAAAAAAAAGAAAAAAAAACTACTCAGTCAAATAAAGATGGTACACGTGACCATCGCCTCAAGAAAATATCCATTTTGAGTTGAAGCTGGGCAGTCAGACACTCCATCTGATAAACGTACTTCAATTTTTGTGTCCATTGAGCAATCGTTGGTGGGATTGGCTTGAGCCAGTTCAGGGTCACTATTTTTCTTGCCACTAGTAAAAGTACATGTAAAATGTACTGTTGGTTGTCAGTGAGTGAGTTGGGATATAAGTCAAGCAAAAATAGCAGAGGGTCCATTGGAATATCTGATCTAATTGTATCTTCAGTCTTCTTTTTGATACTTTCCGAAAATGTTCTTATCTTTGGGCAATCCCAAAAGATGTGGGTGTGGTCTCCAACCATACCACATCCTCTCCAGCACTTATTGGTGGTGGTAGTCTTAATCATGAATGTCCTTAGTGGAGTTCTGAAAAATCTGATTTTTGTTTTCCAGTCAAACTCTCTCCAGTTTTGACTTCCAATTCCTTTGTGACAATATAAACACATATCTTCCCATTGCTCATCTGTTATAATCACATTCATCTCAAGTTCCCATTGATGTTTAACATGGAGCGTATTATCTGATATGTTTTCAGATAGGTTTTTATACATTAAGGATATGATTTTTTTCATTCTGGTTTCTTTTTCAAACAGTTTAACAAAATACATTTCTATATTAGTAGGCTCTCTCATTACAACATCCCACTGTGGATGTTTTGTCAAATAATCTCTAATCTGCAAATACCTATACATGTCATTCTGGGGCAAGGAAAATTGCTCTTGTAGTTGTGAGAAAGATTTAAATGTTTGTCCACTAAATAAATGGTGAATAACTACCAGACCACTGTCTGCCCACCTTTTAAAAAACACCATCTGACATGGATGGTAGAAATTCTATATTACCTACAATGGGCATAGCCCTAGAAAGCCCTGGCACACCTCTAGTTTGTTTTTGAATTACGTTCCATATCCTTAGTGTTTGCAAAATCCAAGGATGATCAATTTTAACCTTTTTCAATAAGTGCTGGCCCATAAATGGAAGAGAATGGATTAACAATCCTGGTATAGAGTTCTGTTCTATAGAAATCCATAAGATCTCGGGATCATTGACCACCCAAGCTGACAATATTCGAAGTTGAGATGCCCAGTAATAAAGTTTTAAGTCAGGGAGTCCAAGCCCTCCTTTTTCTTTCTTTGTCATTAATATTTTCAGTCGTATCCTTGGTTTTCGATTTTGCCAGATAAATTTGGATATAAATTTTTCAAGTGTTTTAAATGTAGATTGTGGTACTGATGTAGGGAGAGATTGAAATAAGAATATGAATTTTGGTAGAATATTCATTCTAATAG